GGTGACTGATGAGGGGGTTGAGATGGATGGATGATGGAGGGGGTTGGGGTGGATGGATGGATGGATGGATGATGGAGGGGATTTGGGGTGGCTGATGGCTGTGCCTGGTGAGGCTATAGGGGTGTCTATGGGGATGTCTGGAGCTCTCTCTCTCCAAGCCTTTACCCCCTCCCTCAGTCCCCCCAGGGGAAGTTGCTGGGGGGGAGCGCTGGCTGGGGGAGAGGTTGGGCCCTGGTGGGGTGTGTGTCGCTCCCCGCCGCTCTCTCTGGCACAGCGCTCCCCCCACGCGTGTCTCTGCCCTGCGTGCGTGGGCGACTTCCCCCCCCCCCGGCGGCGCTTTGCAGACGCTCCCTGGCTCTGCCAGGGGAGGGGGGGGGCTGGCTTTGCAGCCCGGTTGCTGGGGGTTCGCGTGCAGATCTGGGTGAGTGGGGAGTGGGGGGGGTTGTTCTCTGCAGACCCCAGACCCCCCCGGGAACCCCCGTGCACCCTCTCCCTTTGCAGTCCCCCCTCCGTTCCCCCCAGCCCTGGGGCCAGGGGGAAAAGTCTCTTTGCTGTGGGTCTATTTTGTATCCATTTTAGGGAGGTGGGGGGATCGAGGGATACTTTTTTGCCCCCCCCCCCCGACCCCATCTCCTTTGCACCCCCTCCCCCCGGCAATCCAGGCTGGGAGCAGCCGAGTTATTGCAGCTTCACAGCAAAACACCCAGCGGAGGGGGGAGGGGCACAGAAGCCATTTTTAGGGCGATTTCCCCCCATTTTGGGGCACTCGAAGGAATCGGGGCGGGGAGGGCTGGGACCAGGAGTCTAGACGTGGGGGGGGGGCGAGGGTTAGAGTCGATCTGAAAGTTTGGGGGGGCGAGGGGGGCCCTGGATCTGAGATACGGGACTGAGGGGCTGTGGGGGCCCCAGGATGTGATGTACAGGACTGGGGGTCTATGGGGGATGCTGGATCTGATGTATAGGACTGGGGGGCTCTGGGGGGGCCTGGATCTGACGTACAGGATTTGGGGGGTTCTGGGGGGGTCCTGGATCTGATGTACAGGACTGGGGGTTCTGGGGGGCCCTGGATCTGAGGTACAGGACTGGGGGACTCTGGGGCCTTGAATGCGGGGTGGGGGGCCATGGGACTGAAGAAACACTTGGGGGTGTTTGTAGGGGGAGGGGCTGTGATGTGGGCTGCTTCAAAGTGGAAATGCCCATCCCCCATGTCCTAAAATTCTTGCTGATCTCTGAGGGTCCAGGCATGGGGCGGGGGATAGGGTAATTGGGGGGTTCTGGACAATCTGGGGGGTCAAGGCCAGGAGTGTGTTGTTGCGTGTGTGACACATGCTCATCCATGTGTCATAGCACACTTAGTGCATGACGGAGGGGGATTCTCCTCCATCTTAGTGGGCTAGGGTACCTGGAGCTATTGCTGACTAGGTGTTGAAGTGAGGAGTAGAACCCAGGAGTCCTGGCTCCCAGCACCGCCCCCGCTGTAACCACTAGACCCCACTCCCCTCCCAGAGCCGGGGATAGAACCCAGGAGTCCTGGCTCCCAGCCTCCCCCTTCCTTTCATGAACCCCCACAGACTGGCTTTGCTCCTGCCCTTGCCCTCTGATCCCATGCAGCAGCGTCTGCGTGGCTCAGCCGGTGGCGGGTTCGAGTCCTGCTCCTGGAGAAGCGACCTGACCGCGTGCATCTTTTCTCCCTCCCCCAGGGCTGGCTGGCGGGCGGCGCAGGACGGGTTTGGAGCTGGGCTGCCGCACGGCCCGTCCGTCTCAGGTAGGTCCCTGGCTGACCGGCGGGGAGGGTCCGAGGGCAATTCCCACCGGGACAGTGAGGGGTCAGTCTCAGCCTCTCCCATCACAGCGCCTGCTGTGGGGAGCCAGGCTGTGCCCCCCCGGATCTCCCCAAGCCCTGTGGGTGATTGGCACCCGGTTCTGGTTCTGGGCATAGCCAGCATGAGGCAGCTACCGTCAGCTCTGGGGCATGGTGGGGACAGTTGGAGATGGCACACCGGGGGGCATATATACAGTGATGGGGGATGGGTGGCATGCTGGAACGATTTGGAGTATGGGGGGTGCCCCGGGAGGTTATGGGTAGGGGCTCTCTGGGGTAGGTAGTGGTTGCCCCGGGGGTTATGGGTCTCAGGTGGCCCGGGAAGTTTTGTGTAGCGGCTGCCCTGGGGGGGTTATGGGTAGTGGCTTCCCTAGGGGGTTGTGGGTAGGGGCTGTCTGGGGAGGGTAGTCGTTGCCCCGGCGGGTTATGGGTGTCAGGTGGCCCAGGAGGTTTTGTGTAGCGGCTGCCCTGGGGGGTTATGGGTAGCGGCTTCCCCCGGGGATTATAGGTGGAGGCTGCTCTAAGGGGTTATGGGTGAGGGCTTCCCCGGCGGGTTATGGGTGGCAGGTGGCCCAGGGGGTTATGGGTGGCGGCTGCCCTGGGGGGTTATGGGTGGAGGCTGCCCCGGAGGGTTATGGGTGGCGGCTGGCCCAGGGGATTATGGGTGGAGGCTGCCCTGGGGGGTTATGGGTGGAGGCTGCCCCGGTGGGTTATGGGTGGAGGCTGCCCTGGGGGATTGTGCGTGGCGGATGGCCCAGAGGGTTACGGGTGGCGGCTGCCCTGGGGGGTTATGGGTGGAGGCTGCCCCGGTGGGTTATGGGTAGCGGCTGGCCTGGGGGATTATGCATGGCGGATGGCCCAGGGGGTTACGGGTGGCGGCTGCCCTGGGGGGTTGTGAGTGGCAGCTCTCTGGGGCGGGTAGCAGCTGCCCGGGGTTAAAACCTCACTTCTCTCTCTCACCAGCGTCCCCGTGCGGCAGCCAGGGGCCCGCCAGGCCGGGGCGCCGGGACGGAAGGAAAATGACTGAGAGGAATAACCGGAGGCGGACGAGTATGCAGGGCACGGGCAGCAGGGGGCGCCCCGGAGCCAGGCCCACATAGAGCTGGGGAGCCATAGGGACGAGAGGAGGGTACTGGGGGGGGCACATCAAAGTTGGGGCTCAGGGGGAGGGACTTCTGGGGGTGAAAGGGAGCTGTGGGGGCTGGGGCGTGTCAAAGCTGGGAGGTGTCTGTGGGGGAGGGGCAGGGGAGCCGGTGGGGGATATGATCTGGGAGGGGGGAGCAGTGGATTGCAGTCAGGTTTTGGGGTGACCTTTTCCTGGGGGGAGGGGAGTCCCAGGGTATGGATGAGGGGTTGTTGTGGGGAGGGGTCCCTGCCCCGTTGGGGTAGGGGCTGGGCCGGGGATGTCAAGGGCCCCACTGTGTGGGGGGTGGGGCTGGTTTTGGGGTCCCCCCGTGACACGTCTCTCCCTGCAGTGAAGAAGGACGATGAGGCCTACGAGATCTCCATCCCCTTCGAGGAGACGCCCCACCTAGAGCCCCAGATCTTCTACAGCCTCAGCCCCCCCCCAGAGCAACTTTGAAGGTAGCCCCCCCCCCCCGCACCTCTACCCCATGCCCCCATCCCCAGAGACTCCCCTGTACCCTCACCCCTGGGGGGGATGGGGAGATGGGAGGTGTTAGGTTTGGGGAGGGTTCAGTGGGGAGGAATCCAGGGCTGGAGGGCTAGTTTCTTTGGGGGGGCTTGGGGGCCAGGGAAGAAAGGAGGGGGCATAGTGTGGGGGGAGGCCACCCGGGGCAGTGGGGCCCTGTCAGTGGGGGGAACGGCCAGTGGGGTGGAGCCAGTGAGGGTCAAGGCCCTGTTGGAGGGGATCAAGGTCCTGTTGGGCGGGGGAGAGACTGCTGGGGGGCAACGAGGGGGGCAGGGCCCCATTGGGAGGAAGATTCCGGCAGGGGGCAGGGCTGTGTCCTGGGGGAGGGGTCAGGGCCCTGTCAGAGGGCAGAGGTTGGGGGGGGGTCAGGGCCAGGGGTGGAGGAGTCAGGTGGTGCCCCCCCCCTCCCCGCAGAGCTGCCGGAGCCGCCCCCGCCCGCCCTGGCGCTGATGAGCAGCATGAAGACCCAGCTGCACATGGCCCTGGAGCGCAACTCCTGGCTGCAGAAACGCATCGAGGACCTGGAGGAGGAGCGGGACTTTCTGCGCTGCCAGCTCGACAAGTTCATCTCCTCCGCCAAGGTGGACGCCGGTGAGCCGGGCAGGACGCCTGGGTCCCTTCCCTGGTGCTGGGAGGGGAGTGGGGCCTAGTGGTTAGAACACGGGGGGCTGGGAGCCAGGACGCCTGGGTCCCTTCCCTGGTGCTAGGAGGGGAGTGGGGCCCAGTGGTTAGAACATGGGGGGGCTGGGAGCCAGGACTCCTGGGTTCCTTCCCCAGCTCTGGATCCCTGCCCCCCTGTAGTGACTTTAGAAGTCAGAGGCGGCAGAGGGGGGCGTGTTGGGGCACTAGCTGGGGGAACAGCCTCTGTGTCCCCGTTTGACCCGATCCCAGGTCCCAGCTCTAGAGGAGCAGTTCCCTGGGCAGCAGGTGTGGTAGGGCTTTTATCCCTCCCATGGGCAGCCCCTAGGGGGCGCCGTATCTCACAGCAGGGCGGGGAGGCTCCAGTGAGGTGCATGCTGGGACCCAGTCTCTGCTCCCCTCCCCCCCAGAAGATCACTGCCGCAGCAAGCAGCCTCCGCGGCGGGCGGAGGCGGCCGAGAGCCGGCCCGGCGAGGCCACGGACAACGAAAGCCTGGCATCCTCGCTCAGCGCCGCCTCGGAGCAGGGCGGCTCTGCCGAGCGCAAGAAGCAGAAGCAGAAGGGGGGGGTGAGCCGGCGGCGCTTCGGCAAGCCCAAGGCCCGCGAGCGCCAGCGAGGTGAGTGGGGGCCTGCAGGGGGCGCTGGGTGTGGAGAGGAGGGAGCTGTGGGGTGGGCATGTGCCATGGGGTGATGAGCAGGGAGGAGGCAGGGGGCTGTGGGGTGGGGTGTGGGGAAGAGGAGGAGGACTGTACGATTGAGGGGTCTGGCATGGGTGGGGTGGAGGGGCATGTGGGGGGAGGACTCCCTATGAGGGGCTTTGGGGGGGTGGGGGCAGGTCCTCCTGAGCGGGCTGGCAGGGAGTCTGTGTCAAAGGAAAGGAATGAACAGGCTCTTCTCTCCTGGGCCTTTCTGTCCCCCTCCTTTCCTCTGTCCCCCTCTATCCCTCCTCCCCGGCCATCTCCCCGTCCCTCCCGTCCTTCTCGCCCTTGCCGTGGCCCGCCCGGCAGTCAAGGACGCCGACGGGGTGTTGTGCCGCTACAAGAAGATCCTCAACACCTTCCAGAAGCTGAAGAGCATGAGCCGGGCCTTCGAGCACCACCGGGTGGATCGCAACACGGTGGCTCTGACCACGCCCATCGCCGAGCTGCTCATTGTGGCGCCCGAGAAGCTGGCTGAGGTGGGCGAGTTCGACCCATCCAAGGAACGGCTGCTGGAGTACTCGCGCCGCTGCTTCCTGGCGCTGGACGACGAGACCCTCAAGAAGGTGCAGGCCCTCAAGAAGAGCAAGCTGCTGCTGCCCATCACCTACCGCTTCAAGCGGTGATGGGGCCCCCTGCTGCCCCCCCACCCCGGGACCCGTTACCCCGCAAACCGCCCTATCCCACTGCCGACACCAGCGCTGCCCCCTGGGATGCCCTCAAGCCACCCTATCCCACCGCTGACACCAACACTGCCCTGGGACTCCCTCAAACTGTCCTATCCCACTACTACCACCGATGCCGCCCCCATCCCCTGGGATCTGTGATCCCGTGAATTGGCCTATTCCCACGCTGTCCCCCAAGATTCCCCTGAACTGGCCTATCTCACCAATGCTGTCCCCACCCCTCAGGATCTGTCACCCCACGAACCTGCCTATCACACTGCTAACACCAAACACTCCCCCCTGAGACCCTCTCGAACCATCCTATCCCACCGCTAACGCCAACGCCGCTCCTCCCCGGGGCCCCTCGAAGCACCCTATCCCATGGCTGACACAAATACGTACCCAATCCCTGCTGCCCATCACCTCAGGCAGTGATGGGATACCACCCCCCGAAACACACTACTGCCCCCGGGACACCTCCTCCCACTGCTACCACAAATATTGCCCCCCAGATCACCTCTTGCTTCAAGCAATGATGGGACTAAGGCTCTGTCCCGCACCTATCACTTCTGGGAGTAATGTGATATTCCACCCCCACCGCATGTGATCGCACTTCTGGCTCCATCACCCCGGTACCATCCCCCTGGCACTGCCACCCACCCGCTATTGCTTAAAACAATGGTGGGACCCTGCCCTGCTCCAACAGGCCCCCCGCTACCATCGACCGCCGCACTTCGTCCCATTCCTCTGCCAGTCCCCTCTCCCTGTGGTCTGCAGCCACCCCTTGCTGAATCTCTCCACCCCAACGCGTGTTGAATGGCTTCGTTCCTCCCTCTTTCTGTGCACACCACCTGCTGGTCTCAGCACAGCTGGGGAGCCAGGACACCTGGGTTCTCTCCCCGGCTCTGGGACGGGAGCAGAGTCTAGTGGTTAGAGCGGGCGGGCTGGAGGGCCAGGACGCCTGGGTTCCATTTGCCCTCTCTGGGGCCTTGGGGAAATTCCATTTTTCCTCCCCACTGGCAGAGCGGGGATCCCGCCCCTTTCCCGAGGCTGAGTGAGTCATGGGACGGTGTCAGTTCTGGGAGGGGACTGTGCCTCCCACCCGTCCCAGGCCTGCCCATGGGAGCAGCTGAGCTGCTGGGCCATTGCGGCGGTTGGCATCGGGGCGTGGCTCTGAGAGGCCCATTTCCACACCCCCGTCCTGGGGTAGGAGAGCTGTGATAGCAGGAGCTGGGCTGGGGCTAGCCGGGGGGCTTGCGCAAGGGGCCATGAACTGGGTGCTCTCTTGTGGCTCAAGGGGTTCTGGTGACATGGGTGGGGCGGGGCTGGCTGGAGCAGACTCCAGGAGTCGGGTCAGGTAGGAAAACGCCCGGCTCTCCTGCCCGTGAGGTCGGTCTGGCTGTGTTCTGGGAATGGGCCACGGGAGGGGGGCGGGGCTGGCCCCACGGGCAGGAGCTGGCACTGGAGGAAGGGATGGGGTCAGGTTGGGAAACAATTTGACCCTCTTGGACTCGGGTCCACTTCAGGCCTAAAAATTAGGCCTGAGCAGACCTCTATGACTCAGCAGGGTGGCGGATGGGACATGGGGCCTCTCCCCTCTATGGGGCGCCAGCTCCCATCCGGCCCCAGGGCAGGGACTGGCTGGCTTGGGGGGTGGGGGTGGGGAATGGGAAACGGGGCCTTTCCCCTCTAGGGGGCGCCAGCTCTGATCATGACCCAGCTTGTCAATTTGACCCCAGGTTCTACAGTGCTGTTAAATTTATGGGGGGGAGGGGAGGGGCAGCTGCGCTGAGCCGATTGGCCGAACAGGCTGCAGGGGGGTGTGCTGATTGGCCAATAGTTGCCCTGGCTACGTCTCCAACTTGGGGTCCGGATTCTGGACCCAACCTGCCTGCCTTGCCCTGAGCTCCCCGCTTTGATCCGTTCCACGTACAGATCCCCCCCATCACGTCCCATATTGCTTAGAGACCAAACCTGACCCCCATGCTCCCCATCCCCCCCACCCTGCTCCATCACCTGCAGACACCACCCTCCCCTCAGCAGGGCGGGGGCACCCCGTATGCCGAGTGCAATCTGGGGTTTCTACTCCGTCTGCCCCTGCCTGGCACCAATGGAAGCGCCAGATCGGGTCCCCCATCCCGCCCCCCTCATGGGGGTTGTCATTGATTCTCTTCGCTCCCTGTTTTGGGGGGTGATTTCCCCGCCCCTCACTGCGGCCCTGAGCCACCAGGTCTGTATGTGTGCAAGGAGCTGTACGCGGCAGTGTGGCCGGGACATCCCTTTTTATTCAGTGTAACGAACTCTCTTCTCCACTGTGCCTGTTCTTTCATGCCCTCTCTCTCTATGTTTAAAAAAAAAAGAGAAAAGAAAAAAAAATCTAACAAAAAAAATCAATTTATTAATAGAATTTAAATTAAAAAAAAGAAGAAAATTTGGAATAAATCAAGGCCTGCGTCTCATTTAATTACCAAAATCTTTCGTTTCCCTTGGGCCTAAAACCAGCTGCCTCTGGGGTAGGGTGGGGGGCAGGAGCTGTTTATACAGGAACCCCTCGCCCTGTGCGGAAATACGACCACCTCTGGGGTGGGGGCTCTATACAGGAACCCCTTGCATGGGGCTGAGATGTGGCCCCTCTGGGGTGGGGCACGGGGGCTGTTTATACAGGGATCCCTCACCTGGTGTTAGGCATGGCCCCTCTGGGGCAGGAGCTGTTAAGATGGGGACCCCACAGCTGGCACTGAGATGTGGCCCCTCTGGGGTCGGGTGCAGGGCTGTTTTTACAGGGACCCCATGCCTGGCACAGAGAGGGCCCATGGGTGTGATCTCATGCAAAGCCGGCACAATACCGGGCTAGATGGGCGCATCGGTCTGATCCTCTGACCTTAAGGGGCGCTATCGGCCCCTCCTCCCCTTGTGGGGCCAGTGGAGCAGTGGGGAGAGAGTCCCACTGCAAGTGGCTGGAGCAAAGATTAACTGAGGCTGGACCCAGACCATCCCTGACCAGGGACACCCTGCCCGCCCCCCCGCCCCACACCTTTCTGAGCCATGGCCCAGAATCCCCTTGGAGCTCAGAAACCCCCCACCTACCCCAGCGGAGTTCTCCAGGGTGAGAGGATTTCGGAGAGGGCGGCTGAATCCATCCGACATGGAAGGAGGAGGGGTGGGGTCATACTGAACAGAACTCCTGGGTTCTCTCCCCGGCTCTGGGAGTGGAGTGGGGGCTATTGGTTAGAGCGGGGAGGTTGGGAGCCAGGACTTCTGGGTTCTCTCCCTAGCTCTGGGAGGGGTGTGCGGTCTAGTGGTCAGAGCAAGGGGGTGCTGGGAGCCAGGACTCCTGGGTTCTCTTCCTGGCTCTGGGAGGGAAGTGGGGTAAATGTTGTACTTAAAGTACTGCACAGGTTCTTTTCAGGGGGAATAAGGCAAAATGCCACATTTATTAGTAATACATGTATTCATTAACACTGTATTATATGCATATGATCTATATTACACTCATGCACTCACATACACACACACTCTGTCTTGTTGTTGTTACCAATTAGTTGCTCCCCTTAACTACACTGGCCAGGTGAGTTAGATGGGTGGAGCCGGGCTTCTGCCGATGCGGATAGATGCTCCCATGTTGACAAGACGAGACCCGGGGTCCTCGGCAAGACATCTCACATTTATAGCAGCTTCCCTCTCATGCAAATCTACACCAGATTCAAAATCTGTGTCTGTGTCCATTGGTCCTTTGTGCTGCTTTCTTCTGGGTGTTGTCCCAGTGCTGCAAAGAGGGTGTTTCCAAAAGAAGGTGCTGGCTTCTAAGCCCTGAGGCCATCAATATGTCTGCTCTTCTTTAATGAGCCCACTTGACAAGTTTGATTGTTCTTGGGTCTGGCTTCCATCCCCTCTCCAAGGGTTGCAGCTGTCTGGAGGTGCTGCCTTCCAAGCCTTTACTCATTCACGATTTGTTCATGAGTGTTGGCCTGCTAAACCCAGGGTTGTGAGTTCAGTCCTTGAGGAGGCCACTTAGGGATCTGGGGCAAAAATCTGTCTGGGGATTGGTCCTGTTTTGAGCAGGGGGTTGGACTAGATGACCTCCTGAGGTCCCTTCCAACCCTGATATTCTATTCTATGTTAACATGGCAACTGATTAAGAGTGGGGGGAAGATCTTGTCCTACTGCTAGCAAAGAGACATTTTTCTTCTATCTTATTCTATCCTTAGGGGCTATAACATTATACCAAGGTTCAATGCAAAGTTTCTAAATGAGGCTTTGATACAAAGTGTCATGAAAACAGAGGTCACACGTGGGTAAACCCACTACAAGGTTATATGAAGAGGCACAATGTAAAGTCATATGAAAATTATCAGAGATTTATCTACATCTAGTGGTCAGAGCAGGGGAGTGCTGGGAGTCAGGACTCCTGGGTTCTCTCCCCAGCTCTGGGAAAGGAATGGGGTCTAGTGGGCTTGTCATGATTTTGTGGCCCCAGGGCTTATTAATTATGGGCACCTGGGACCGGCTGTCCCCCTGCTGTTCTTCCCTGCACTTGGGGCAGGCTCTGCCTCCTCCACAAGATTCAGACAGCGCCTGGCGCGAAGGGGCCCAGCGAGAACACTCGACTCCACGGCCTCTCCCTGTCCATCTGTAGGGGGGAGCTTTGGAACGCTGCATGCCACCCCCCCAAATGTCTGGCCGTGCCCTGGGCATCTCTCTGGTGGAAAAGGGAACACACGAAAATCAGGCCCACAGCCCCTTTGGGGCACTCCGGCTGCTGGAAATCACAGACACCGGCTTACTAGAGGGTAGTCCTGTAGGCCAGCCCTTTAAATGCAAATGGGCCCTGGCTGGGGGAGGGCAGACCTGGGGGTGGGTGTGAGGGGCCCAGCTGGGGGGGGGGGGGATGACAAGATTTTACTGTGGGGAGGCTAGATGGAGTTGTGGGGCAAGGGGCCACCTCAGCAGGGTGACCTGGTCAGGGCAGAAATACATCCTGGTGGTAGCAGAGTTCGCTATGCGTTACCCCGAGGCAGTGGCCTTGTCCTCTATCGAGGCAGACACCATGGCAGACGTGCTGCTGACCATTTTCAGCAGAGTGGGGTTCCCCCAGGAGGTCCTTACAGACCAGGGGTCTAATTTCATGTCAACCCTGTTCCAGTGCTTGTGGGAGAAGTGTGGGGTCCGACACCTGGGCCTCAGCCTACCACCCTCAGTCCAACGGGCTAGTGGAGAGGTTCAATGGGACCCTAAAGAGGATGCTGAAAACCTTTATGGACCAGCACCTGCAGGACTGGGACAAGTATTTACCCCACCTGCTGTTCGCATACAGTGAAGTGCCCCAGGAATCCACAGGGTTTTCCCCATTCGAGTTGCTGTATGGGAGGAGAGTGAGGGGGCCCCTGGACTTGATGAGGGCCAAGTAGGAGGGAAAGGCCTCTCCCGATGGGGAATCAGTGGTAGAGTATGTACTGACTCGCCGGGAAAAGCTCGTGGAGCTCATGGGCTTGGCTAGGGGGAACCTAGCAAGGGCCCAGAGGAAGCAGAAGGTCTGGTACAACCGCTCAGCCCGTGCCTGCTCATATGCTACCGGGGACCAGGTGATGCTCCTCATCCCCGTGAGGAAGAACAAGCTGCCTGGGACGGCCCCTTCACGGTCATCAGACAAGTAAACAAGGTGAACTATGTAGTGGAACTGTCCAACTGGGCTCACAGCCACCAGATGTACCATGTCAACATGATGAAACCGTGCTGGGACAGGGAGAAGTTGGTGCTGGCTGTGTGGGGGCAATGGGAGAAGGGAGAGGACCCCCTGGTGGGACTCTTCCCTCAAGCTGGGGCTAACCCTTCACTGGAATCAATTCCCCTCTCAGACCAGCTAACCCCTGCCCAGCAGGCAGAGATCAGAGCCGTGCTGCATTCACACCGGCAGCTGTTCTCCAACCGGCCTGGGCTCACTAACCTGGCTGTCCACCAGGTGGAGACGGGAACCAGCTCTCCCATCAGGTGTTCCCCATTCAGGGTCACTTGGAAAACAGCCCAGACCTGGAGAGAGAGGTCAGGCACATGCTGGCTTTAGGGGTGATCCAGCCATCTGCCAGCCCCTGGGCCTCGTCGGTGGTGCTGGTCCCCAAGAAGGACGGGTCGATCCGGTTCTGTGTGGACTATCAGAAGCTCAATCCCATCACCGTGTCCGATGCCTACGTCATGCCTAGGACCGATGAGATCCTAGACAAGTTGGGGGGCACCCGGTACCTCACTACCATGGATCTTACCAAAGGCTACTGGCAGGTGCCTTTGGACCTGGAGGCCAGGGCGAAGTCTGCCTTCACCACCCCAATAGGGCTCTTCGAGTTCCTGGTCCTGCCTTTCGGCCTCAAGGGGGCACCTGCCACCTTCCAGCGCCTGGTGGATCAGATTAGCCAGACCTGGGAGGAACATGTGTCCCAGGTGAAGAGGGTGCTGGGTTGCCTTCAGGACTGACCATAAAAGCTGAAAAGTGCAAGGTGGGGATGGCAGAGGTGTCCTACCTGGGCCACAAGGTGGGGGGTGGCCACCTGAAGCCGGAGCCGGCCAAAGTGGAGGCAATCAAGGCCTGGCCCGCTCCCCAGACTAAGAAGCAGGTTCCGGCTTTCATTGGGATGGCAGGGTACTACCAGAGGTTTGTGCCCCACTTTAGCTCCCTGGCAGCTCCCCTCACGGAGCTGTGTAGGAAGGGAAAGCCGGACAAGGTGGTCTGGACTGAGCAGTGCCAGAGGGCTCTCTGTATGCTGAAGGGGGCACTTATCCAAGGCCCGGTGCTGATAAACCCAGATTTTAACAAACCCTTCCTGGTGTTCACCAACACCTCAGACACAGGGCAGGTGCGGTGCTGATGCAGACTGATACTAAGGGGGAGAGACACCCCATTGTGTACCTGAGCAAGAAGCTGCTGCCCCGGGAGCAGCACTATGCGGCCATAGAGAAGCAATGCCTGGCCATGGGGTGGGCCCTTAAAAAACTGCAGCCGTATCTATTTGGGCGGCGCTTCACCGTGTACACCGACCATTCGCCCCTAACGTGGCTACATCAAATGAAAGGGGCTAATGCCAAGCTGCTGAGGTGGGCCCTGCTCCTCCAGGGGTATGACATTGAGGTGGTCCATGTGAGGAGGAGGGCCAATGTTATAGCCAAGTATCAGAGGGGTAGCCGTGTTAGTCTGGATCTGTAAAAAGCAACAGAGTCCTGTGGCACCTTATAGACTAACAGATGTATTGGAGCATAAGTTTTCATGGGTGAATACCCACTTTGTCAGACATATGCTTTATCACGGGGCGGGGGCCCTGAACTTCCCCAGGTCACTGGCTAAGTGACCCTGCTCCGTTCAGCCTCGAAGGGGGGAGAGATGTGACGAAGTGGGGGGTTTTCTTGTTTTTCCGTTTTGCATGCAGAGGGGTTGGGACTCAGTTTCCCTGGGGGTT